AAGTCTCGAGGGCATCTGCCGAGGCTCAGCTCGGGAGCCCTTTTCCCATCCCCACGCCTACGCCCACTGCAACCTATAGGATCTGGAATGCTTCCCCGACTCCGGCGTTACGTGTTCTGCCCACTCTGGTCGTTTCTCCGACTCCTCTTCACACCTTTCCGACTCCGGCTCCCGCCCATCTCTCCGACTCCGGCTCCGGCTCCGACTCCCGCCCCCAACACGTCTCCTGAGGGCTCCGGCCCCCCCGCGCCGCCCTATGAGGGCTGGTCCCGCCGGACCGAACTCGCGCGCTCGCCTCGCCTCCCATCCCTCCGGTCCGCGGGCGACATGTGTGCACCGTTCCGCGTTTGCGTCCCCCTAGGCGTCGTCGATCCTCGACCTGGGTATGGTACGGTGCGTAGTGTCTCGGCCCTCGGAGCCTGAGGACTGGAGCACCGTACCGCGCTGGAGCGGGGCCTGAAGGGAGTCCGAACATGGTACGGTGCATAGTCGCCGTTCTCGTAGCGCCGATTCAAGAAATCCGCGCGGACCGCCGGCAGTTTCTGTCAATGCCGTCCTTGGTTCCCCGACCTCAGGGTCCCTTCTCCTCCTCTCCCTCGCTCCTCCTGCTCCTCCTCCTCCTCCTCCGCCTCCTCCGCCTCCTCCTCCTCCTCCTCCTTCCTCCTCCCTCCTCCTCCTCCCTCCTCCCTCTTCCCTCCTCCCTCCTCCCTCCTCGCTCCTCCCTCCTCCCTCCTCCCTCCTCCCTCCTCCTCCTCCCTTCTCCTCCTCCTCCTCCTCCTCCTCTCCTCCACCTCCTCCTCCTCCTCCTCCTCCTCCTCTCTCCTCCTCCTCCTCCTCCTCTCTCCTCCTCCTCCTCCTCCTCCTCCTCCTCCTCCTCCTCCTCCTCCTCCTCCTCCTCCTCCCCCCTCTCCCTACGTCCCTTCCCTCCCTCCTCGCCCTTGTCCCGGGCCCCGGCCCTCGGGGCCCCGCCCTCGAGCCGCCGGCGTCCGGGACCTGGCCGACTGCGCCGTGGTCATCAGCTGCCTCCCGACCACGCGCGAGGTCCGCGACGTCGCCACGGCGCTGCAGCGCGCGCGCGCCGAGGCTCGGCAGCGCTTCGCCCCGCCCCTCGGGGGAGGAGACCCACACATCGGGCGCTTCGGGAAAATCGAGACGGAGGTTTTTCATAGTTTTTGGCCTCTCGGGGCCTTCGCCGGGCCTCGGGACCGTCAAGAAACGACTCGGGATGAAAAACCAGTCCCAGGGAAGTGGTCGGGAGGTCGGGGGCCCGCGTCTCGAAAAAATCGAGACGTCGGATGTCCGGGGAGGGTGCCCATACCTCCACCCCCTCGCCCGCTTTCCCCTCTTCGGGCCTCCGGGGGAGCCCTCGCCGCCACCGCCGGATTCGCCTCGAGATCCTGGCCAGAACGCACCCCAGGAGAGGTCCAGGGAGTAGCGGAGTAGCGGTATCGGTCTACTTTTTGATTTCCCCAATCCCCGTCCCCACCAGGCCATGGCATCTCAGCCCCCACCATCCCTCCGGCAGGGATGGCGAGCCTGTGCCACTGTCCCGGCCAGGCCCCTGGACACCCGGAGGGATCTGCCCATGTCCCCAGCAATCGGCGGCGAATTCCCAACCCTATCCTCACCGACCAGCGATTCGGGCAACCCGATGGGCGGCGGGGGTAGGGTTCGGAATTCGTGGAACACGTGGCGAAACCCAAACCCTGCCCACGCCTCCCAACGAGTCAGGAGAATCGATGATCGGTGGGGACAGAGTTCAGATGTCGCCAACTCAGCTGGGGGGGGGTAAGTCGGCCAGTGGGGCCCACGCCAGCAGGGATAAGGATCGGTCAAACAGTACTGACCATCTGGAAGCCTTGGTCTTTGGGCCATAACTCGGCTCTCTGGCGGCCGTTCGGGACGATCCAGACACCCCGGGAAGTCAGTCGGCGAGGAGCATCTGCTGGAACGCACCCCGAAGCCGGAAAACCGCCGAGAGCCGACGGAAACGTCCGACACCCATCCCCACGGGGCCCTCGCCAGCGGGGATGGGGATCGGTTGTGCGATGCTCAGCAGGCGGGCGCCTCGCCGCCGGGATGCCTATGGGTGGACTGCAGCTCGGGCGACCCGGCTGGCACCCGCGCGCTGAGGCTCGAGCTGGCGGGCTCGGGTATCCTGAAGAGGAGAGCACGGCGCAGACATACGAAGGAGGAGGAGGAGGAGGAGGAGGAGGAGGAGGAGGAGGCGCAGGAGGAGGAGGAGGAGGAGGGGGGGAGGGGGAGGGGAGGGGGAGAGAAGGAGGAGGAGGAGGAGGGGGAGGAGGAGGAGGGGGGGAGAGGCAGGAGGAGGAGGAGGAGGGGAGGGGGAGGAGGAGGAGGGGAGGAAGAGGAGGAGGAGGAGGAGGAGGAGGAGGAGGAGGAGGAGGAGGAGGAGGAGGAGGAGGAGGAGGAGGAGGAGGAGGAGGAGGAGGAGGCGCAGGAGGAGGGGGCAGCGCTGGGGGGGGAGGCATCGGGGACGGTCAGAAACTTCAGCTGAGCGTGTCGTGCCGCCCGTTCTTGCGAAGTGTCAATGTCTCGAGCTTTTCCTAGCCTGCCGCCCTGCGTGGCGGAGTGACACGCTATCCGCTCGCAGGGGATAGCGTGTCGCCGGGGCCGCGGCGGCGACTGGAAACAGAGTTCCCGACCATAAACTCTCGTCTCTTTGCGCGGATGTCTCGAACGTCGACCCCAGATCTCCGACGATGTGCCTTTTTCAACGGGCCTTTCAATTCCTCGATGTCGTCATCCGGGGACCATCATCGGGCCTCGGGACCATCAGGAACGGATCCGGGGCGAAAGTCCGACCCCAGGGAACCAACTCATGCGGGCATCGTGTGTCTTTGCAATGCCGTCTTTCGAGTGCATTCGCGTGCGCTAGCGTCTGGTAGTCGATGGGAAAGCGCCAATTTGGCGCCGACTGGCGTCGATTTAGCGTCGACTGGTGTCGGTTCGCGTCGACTCGCGTCGGCTGGCGTCGATCCGCAAGAGCCAGCAAGATGACAACATAGAGGCTCCCATGCATAGCCGCAGAACTTTCGGAGCTCCGCGCATGCTGGAATCAGGAGGGAAAGAAACACACAGACACAATTCATCTTCGACGCCCAGGAAAATTTGGGAAAATGTAGGCAGTGGGGGGGTGGAAGACGAAGACCCAGAAAACATGGGAAAATATGGGGGATCCTGTTATTTGTGTATCTTTGTTTGTGTGTCCATGGGCCCCCTCGTGGACGTCCTGGAGGCCTCGCGTGGCGCACAGTGGCTGTGTTGTCCAGAGTCCGCACGCCCGCCCCGTCGGCTCTGGCGCGACGTCCGCGGCGCGGCGACGCTCCGGCGCGCGTCCGACGCGAGCCCGACGCGAAGCCGACGCGAATGCGGCGCGCACCCGACGTGGACGCGACCCAACCTTTGAATAGGAGATCGACTACAAAATCGATGTACCCCCAGATTGGTTTCCTCGTCGAATCCATGGACAAAAAGAATATAATGTTCGTAGATCTACGTCGCTTTCTACGAATTCATGGATTCGACGAGAGAATCGACTTTGGGGTAAATCAATTGTGTAGTCGATCCCCTACTCAAACCCTGGGCCTCGAGTTGCCGCGCTGGGCTTTCAGGATTTTGCCCCCATGGCCCACGGCCTCGGTCGGTGCCGCCTCCGCTGTCTCCCCGGCACCGCCCGGGTCGGCTGCCGGGGCCGATGGGGTCCAGCGCCGAGCCGAAGACTTCGACTAGACGTAAGAGTGACCTTTCGCCGGAGTGACCTTTGGTGCGGGCACAGATGGGTCCCCGGGTGGCTGAAAACGAGGCAGGAGCAGCGGCCTGCGCGCCCAGGTCGGGCCCCCCCGCGGCCCCCCAAAAGCCGCGCACCCAAGGTCACTCTTGCCCAGGGCCACTCTTGCGTATAGCCGAGAAGAGCAGCCGCGCGGAGCTGCGGCAGCCTGCCGGCCGGAAGCGTATCCGGACGCTCCCTGCGACTGGCGCCGCCTCACCGCGGTGCCGATCTCGAGGACTCCTTCCGCTTCCGAGGGCGCATCCCCGAGACTGCCAACGCCTTTGGGCTTGTCGATCTCACGGATGGGGATAAGCTTGAGGTTGCCTACGGCCGGGAGCTCTCGGTCAGCGTGTCGCTCCGTCGGCTCTTGCCCACCGCGCTGCGGCGCGACTCACAATGCACGTCCCCAGTCCCCAAGCGTCAACGTCCCGAGTGTTTCCCCGCCCCCCGCCCCGCGGAGCGGAGCGACACGCCACCCGCTTGCAGGGCGTAGCGCGTCGCTGGGGCCGCCGCCGCGACACGCCAAGCAAAAGCTTCTGGCCGTAACAGTTCCGGCCTGTGCCTGTGCCGCCTTTGTCCTCTTCCCAGCTTCGACCCAGTCAACCTCAGGGGCAAGGAGGAGTGCGAGGGCTGGACCTGCCCTTGAGATTGCCGACGCTCTTGGGCCTGTCAGTCTCGAGGGCAGGGACCGGCTCGATGTTGGTTACAGTCGGCCTTGATTAGCAGGTCGACCCTGCCAAATCGAGGGCACCGTTGTGCCCCGTCTTCAGCGGCCCGTGCCTTTACAGTCCCAGGGCAATTGCAGCACTCGGAAGGGTCTCGTGCCCTCTCGCGTGGCCCGACTGTATCAGGAGGGGAAAAACACACACAGACACAATTAATCGTCGACTCCCAGGAAAATATGGGAAAATATGGGGAGTGGGGGGGGAAGACAAACACCCAGAAAAGATAGGAACATAGGGGGAATCCTGTGATTCGTGTGCGTATTCATTTGTGTGTCCCAGGGCCCCTTCACTGCAGCGCAGCCCCATGTCTGTGCCGCCTCTGCCCCTATCCCTACCACTATGCTGGGCACCTCCTCATCACGATGCCAGTCTCAGGGACTCCCTTTTCTTTTTTTGGGGGGCGGAGCCTCTTTTGGCGTGCCAGTCTTGGGGCTAGGGATACGCTCGAGGCTGGTAACAGTGGGGATGGAGATAGGTTCAACGATACTGATTTGGAGAAGCAACCACTGGATAAGGAACCCAGGGTCTGGAAGCCAGGGGAACTCAGATCGTGGATCGGTCACAGGCACCACTGGCGCACTCATCGGACAAATAATCCTCCAGGGTCTGCAGCCTCCTGGGCATACTCTTTTGACCAACGCCCCCACCATAAACATAAGCAGTCTGCGCCGCCTCTGCCCTCTTCGCGGCCTCGACCTCGTCGACTGCCCCGTGAGCGGCGGGCCCCGGGGCGCGGCGCAGGGCACGCTGACGGCCATGCTCGGCGGCGGCGAGGGCGTGGCGAGGGCCCTGCCGCTCGTGGCGGCCTTCGCCTCGCGGGTGGAGCGCTGCGGGCCCGTGGGCGCGGGCATGGCCATCAAGGCCCGAGGGAGAAGAGGGGGGAACAAAAAGCAAAAAGCAAAAACCACAAACAAAAAACAAAAAGACACAAACAAACAACAACACAACACACGAAAAGACACACACACACACAAAAAGCACAACAACAAACAAACAAACAAGCACACACAAAAAACACACAACGAACGAGCGAACAATGACGCAAACATAACAACTCGGAGGTCTGCGCGGGTTTCTCGCATCGGCGCTGGAACCCCCTTGGCGGCGCCTCTGGCGCCGCCCCTGGCGCGCTCCTCCGCGCGCCAGGGAGGGGGTTCCAGCGCGGATCCAAGACATCCGCGCGGACCTCCGGGTTTTTATGCTCATGCCACTTTTTCTTGCCCTGCAGAAGCAGCGGCACAGACAGAAACCTTCGGCGCTCCGCGCGGCTTTCCTGGCGAGAGGCCGACGCGGCGGGCTGGGGAGCGCAAGGAACGCCGGGTGGCGTCGTGCATGGTGGAGGGCATGCTGGTGCCCACCTTTGGCGTCCGAGAGGCGTACGGTGCCCTTCGCTGCCCACCCCACCCCGTCGCGTCCACCGGGACTTCGCACCCTCCCCACCTGCTGGGGAGGTGGGTGGACGGGCCGCCCCCCCTGGCGTCGCACGTGCTACGCATCACGAACCCATTGGCGCCGCGAAAGGCACCACGAATCCCCTGGACGCACCGCCTCCCCCTGGGGCCCCAAGCCCCCGCCCCCCCAGGTGGCACAGAGCACCCGACCCCCAACCTGTCGTGTTGCATTCCAGCTGCTCACCGACGCGCTGCGAGTCCCAGTCGTGCTGGTAGGACTCGTGCTGCTGCTGGCAACCGTACTGCTCACCGAAGTCACGCTGGTAGCGCCTGTGCTGCGGCTCGCGCTCGTACTGCTCTCCGAGGTGCTGCAACCATCCCGCCCTCCCGCTCCCAAGTTCCATGAATTCGCTGAAGTCTATGCGGGCGCACTGGACGGCAGGGAATGCACCTGCCGATCACGGCCCATATTGGAGAGAGGTTGAAGTATCAGGCTGGAAAGCTCAGTGAACGTTGAACTGCGTCATATAGGGTGGAGGACATATGGCTTACCTCCGTTAGTTGCGGGTAGGCCTATGGGGCCCCCCTTTTGAGAGGCTAATGGTGCCCTTCGGTGCCCACCCCGTCCCGTCCACCGGGACTTCGCACCCTCCCCTACGCTGGGGAGGTGGGTGGACGGGCCGCCCCTCCTGGCGTCGCACGTACTACGCCAGGGGTGGTGGGGATTCCGGGAGAGGTGACCCCTGCCTCCCCATCCCTCCCACGCGGCTCGAGGTCCCCAGCCTCAAGTCACACGCAGTCCCAGTCGTGCTGGTATGCTCCACGTCGCCGTGGTGCTGCTGTGCTGCTGCCCCGTCATGATGGTAACACCCGTACTGCTGCGCGCGCTCGTGCTGCACATCGCCGCGCCGCCGTGCTGGTCACTGTGGCGATGCTGGCGCGGAGCGCGCCATGGGGGGCAGTGCTGGGCCCTTCTGCGCGCGGCGCGCGACGGTGGCGGCGCCAGAGGCCGCGCTGGGGGGGGGGGAGGGGCTCAGTGCTGGCCCGAGAAACCCGCGCGGAGCTCCGACGGTTTTTGTGTGCGCCGTTTGCTGTTCGAGAGGCCGTGAACAACCTGCTGAACGCCACCCACGTGCTGATCGCCACGGAGGCGCTCCTCGCCCTGAAGCGGGCCGGGGTGGACCCCGCCACCGCGCTCGCGGTGATCAACAAGTCGTCGGGCAGGAGCCTGCAGACGGAGGTGCGCCTGCCAGAGGAGGTCCTGACCCGCCGCTTCGGCTACGGCTTCAAGCTGGGCCTCATGCACAAGGACTGCAGCACGGCGGCCAGCATGCTGTCGTGGGAGGAGACGCGGGAGCCCCCGCTGCTGCTGCAATCCAGCAGGATGGTCGGCGCCGCCCACGCGCTGCGGGGCACAGACGCGGACTACACCGAGCTGGCCTGCTGGGTCGAGCAGAACGCCGGGCTCGCCCTGTGATGCGCCCCCGGATCTGGGCAGCGCTTGCTGGCCTGAAGGGGGCGGCAGGCAGCAGGCTGACCACGATCGGGGTGCTCAGCTCGCAGAACGGGGGATCGGGACGCGCAGGAGGAGCGAGAGAGGAGGAGGAACGAGGGGGGGGCAGGGGTAGGGTGACGGGGACGGGAGATGGACGGGGGGAGTGATGAGACGGGGGTGGGGAGGAGATGAGGAGGAGGAGGAGGGAGGAGAGGAGGAGGAGGGAGGAGGAGGAGGAGGAGGAGGAGGAGGAGGAGGGAGGAGGAGGAGGAGGAGGAGGAGGAGGAGGAGGAGGAGGAGGAGGAGGAGGAGGAGGAGGAGGAGGAGGAGGAGGAGGAGGAGGAGGAGGAGGAGGAGGAAGGAGGAGGAGGAGGAGGAGGAGAGGAGGAGGAGGAGGAGGAGGAGGAGGAGGAGGAGGAGGAGAGGAGGAGGAGGAGGAGGAGGAGGAGGAGGAGGAGGGAGGAGGAGGAGGAGGATGAGGAGGAGGAGGAGGAGGAGGAGGAGGAGGAGAGGAGGAGGAGGAGGAGGGAGGAGGAGGAGGAGGAGGAGGAGGAGAGGAGGAGGAGGAGGAGGAGGAGGAGGAGGAGGAGGAGGAGGAGGAGGAGAGGAGGAGGAGGAGGAGGAGGGGGAGGAGGAGGAGGAGGAGGAGGAGGAGGAGGAGGAGGAGGAGGAGGAGGAGGAGGAGGAGGAGGAGGAGGAAACAGGCAGACCGCGTCTCGGCGGCGGCGACCCTGGCGCGGGCGGTCAAGGTCGAACGCCGCCAGTGGCTCGGCATCGGCCGGCATCGAGCGATCCGAGATGTCGGAACGTCGCGATCGCTCCAGCGCTCGCGCGGCGTGCGAGGCCAGCGCAGCAGCTGCCAGGGCAGGAGCCAGCCGTAGCCTAGGTCCCCCCCCAGGGTCTCGAAGATAATCGCACTTCGCACGCCGCGGCCTGGAACGGAGAGGCTGTCCTCTCTTCCAAGGCGGCGTGCCGATGGCGCGAGGGCGCGAAGATATCGCGCGTCGTGCATCGCGGGGCGCGAGGCGCGGGGCTAGGTGCCCCAGGCAGCCGTCTCGGCTCAGGCGACGGAATCCAGGCCACGCGCACCAGGGCCCCCATGTCCGCAGAGGCGGCGTGGCTCGGGACACCATGTCGGACGGCGCGGCTGAGGTCCGACGTGGGGATTTACCCATAACCACCGCCTGGGGGGTCGACCTTCGGGGACGTCGGCGGGCGCTGGATATATGGATATATTCGGGCCCTGGGGAGGCCAAATATGTCCATATCCACCGCCCGCTGGGGTCCCAGGACGTCGTATCCACGTGCGGTGGATCTGGATATATTCCCGCCTCGCATGAGGTCCCAATGCCCTCAGACGCGGCCCTGTCCTCCTCTTCCGCAGAGGCGGACGGTATCGAAGACGCCTCCGGCGAGTCGCCGCCGCACCCTGCCTCTTTGGAGGCGCCCGTGTGGCGAAGTGTCGGCCGAACGTCCAGCCAAGCCGTTGAGGAAACAAGGGGCGCCTTCGAGGGCTCGAAGTCATTCGCGCTTCGTGGTTCGGCTCGGGTTCCTCATCCTCCTCTTCTCCCCTGGGGGGCGGCGCGAGAGCGCGAAATTGCTCGCGCTTCTCGCTTCGCGCAGCGCGAAGCGCGAAGTTTGGCGCCCTGTGGGGGCCCCTTAGGGCCCTCTTGCGCCGTCTTGTGGCTCTCTTGGGCCGTCTGAGGGTGCTCTTTAGCTGTCCGGCGCCTTCGGAGGCCGTCTTGGAGGCTCAAGGGTCGTCTTGGGGTTCTCTAGGGGCCCCGGCGTTCCGTCTTGGGGCCGTCTGGGAGACCCCTCGGTCGTCTTGAAGCCGTCTTGGGTTTACTTCGAGACGTCTTGGGGCGCCTTGGGGCTGTCTTGAGATAAACTTGGGGCCTCTTGGGCCGTCTTGAACGGTATTCACACCGCAAAGGAGAGAGTTGGACAATCATTGAAAGCGCCATCAATGAACATCTTGTGTGGTTTCCGTTTCCACTGGGCACCCTCCTGGGGGACCTCTCAGGGCCTTCTTGGGGCGTCCCGGGGGCCTATAGGGCCGTCTTGAGGCCATCTTGCGGCATCTTGGGGCCACCTGTTTTCATTCTTGGAGGCGCAGTAAGCCTACTTGGAGGCCGCTTGGGCCATCTTTCGTGGGACGTGGCTGCCAGGGACACCCTCTTGGAGCCATCTTGGACGGTGAAGGCCGTGTGGTCCACCTTTGGCGGTTCTCTCCAGGTGGCCGGCGGGCTGGGCCAGGTGCCCCCGGAGATTTTCTAGAAGGAGCGAAAAGAGCGAGGCAGTCTGGCACGTCGACGCTCCTCTGGCAGGCTGCGGGGCGGCGGATCTCATGGTCTCCGGCCCATCCCGCCAGCCTGCCCGTGTCGCGGGCAAGAGGCCCCGCCCAGGGCTTCGAAGACGAGGCAAAAGAGGTTCCCAAGAGGACTCCAGGTCGGCCCCGTGGTGCCATCTCGGGGCATGGTGGAAGTGCGGACCCCGACGCGCGCTCGCAGGGCCTCGGAGAAGGCACGGCGACCCACGCCCAAGACACGACCGGGCGCGCCGAGGAGTCCCAGGAATCCCTCGCCTGCGCCATGGAACTCCAGGAAAAACCATTCTTGGAGTTCCAGGGATTCCAGGAATTCCAGGAATTCCAGGAATTCCAGGAAGTCATTCGCGGTCCGTCAGGAGTCGACGGGCCCGGAGCCCGCTCTCTCTTCTTTCTCCAACCCCGGCCTGGCGGGCGCCACCGGGGGCGGGGAGGGGGGAGGACCTGGTGACGTTACGTTGTGCGCCCGGCGGGGAGTGTTCTGCGCTGCCGCGGCCCGGCGGGCTCCCGCCGAGCCCGCTCCACCGCGCGCCTCGCGGCAACGGGGGCGGACAAACCTGGACTGCTCAGTTGCTTCTGTGTCCCTGAGTGGTTTCGGGCCTCGCCCTGACTCCAGATCCGCCCTACTTCGGCTTTTTTTCCAACTTAAAGTTGCGTCGGAAATCCACCTATCAGAGGCCGAAAAAGTAGGGCGGAAATTGCTGCACCCAACATAAAATAGGGCAGAAATCCACAGAAACAGCAACAGAAAAGTAGGGCGGAAATTGGCATCAGCGGGGCTTGAAAAGTAAGGCGGAAATTCCAAGCCCTACTTACGAATTTCCCCATGGGCCGGGCCCTTCGCTCGTGGCCTTTGCCCGGGCCCTCGCTCCGCTTCCTCCTTCGGGCCTCCCCTCGTCGCCGCTCGCGGCGGTTCCTGCCGGGGAGCCGGCGCCGGACCTCCTGGCCCAGACATCCGACGCCTCGATTTTTTCGAGACGCGGGATCTCCCGACCTCCCGACCACTTCCCTGGGACCGGTTTTTCGTCCCGAGTCGTCTTTTGACGGTCCCGAGGCCCAGCGAGGGCCCTGAGAGGCCAAAAACAATGAAAAACCTCAGCCTCGATTTTTGTCGAGACGCCCGATGCCTGGGTGGCCCACGTCCACATCAGTGGACGGCGGACGCCTCCTGCCGACGGCGCAGCCGAGGCCCCTCTGCCCGCCGAGCCCTCGCCGGCGCCCGCCCTCGCCGGCGCGGCGCCCTCGCCCGCTGGCGCCGCGCCCCTGCCGGGCTGGGCGCGCGCCGCGGCGGTGCTGGCGCCCCCGCCGAAGGCGGCGCCCGCCCGGGCGGGCGCCGTGCTGCGCATCACCCTCGCCAGGGCGAGGCGCGGTCGTCGTCGGCGTCGTCGCCGTCGTCGTCGTCGTCGTCGTCGTCGTCGTCGTCGTCGTCGTCGGCGTCGTCGTCGGCGTCGTCGTCGTCGTCGTCGTCGTCGGCGTCGGCGTCGTCGTCGTCGGCGTCGTCGGCGTCGGCGTCGTCGTCGTCGTCGTCGGCGTCGTCGTCGGCGGCGGCGTCGTCGCCTTCGTCGTCGTCGGCGCATGGGTCCGAGGCTTGCGGGCGTCGTCGCCGGGCCTCGGCGGTCTTCCGGCCCCAGGATGCGTTCCAGCACCTCCGGGGTGCCCGGGTCATCCCGAGCGGCCGCCCGAGCTCAGAGGTGTGGCCCGAGAGCCAAGTTCGGGCCCAGAGATCCAGGCGTTGCAACTGTTCACGCCGGGCGTTTTCGCGCGGCTTCGTGCCCCGGGGCCCTCACAGATCGTTCCCGCTCGAGACATGTAGCAGAAGTATGGGTTCTACTTAGGGTCCAGGGCCCGGGCTGTGATTCGCCACGAGAGTGCAATTTTGTCGTGATGTCGGAATTCAGGGTAATTCTGCACCCTACACCAGTCCTGGCCAATCTTGGACCCAGGATGGGTGCACACGTCTTCGTGGCCACCCCAGGGGGGCGCATATCGGGTCGGACGGCCCTCGAGGGGGGCGGGGTGATTAGGGAAACAGGAGGTTACAACATCTGCTGCGCTGCGCGCAGCTGGTTTCGGCACCGCCGCTCTTTTTTTTTACGTCGGTACATTGAATAGAGCACGTTCTGTGGACGCTGGAAAGGGGGGGGGAATTCGAACCGGGGGGGGGCTGAAATGCAAGGGGGTGGGGGGGGGACCGGGAGGGCCCCCCCCCGCCCATAGTAGGATTCCGTTAGAGTTGGATCGAGTCCTAGTCTTGGCATCGCTCGGACGTGTCATTTTTCTCGGCGAGGACCATCGAGCACCATCCCGGACCAACGAGTAAAAAAAACACGCACAAAACCGAAACATGCACGGGAAATGGACGTTCGAGCGACGGCGAGTAGTAGGACTCAACTAGAGCTGGTCGAACCCGACTAAGATGCCGTGAAAGTTAGATCCAGCTGTAGTCGGATCACAAGAGCTTGATCGAGCACGCATAGCATTCTATTCAGGTATTCAGGGGAGGGCCCCCCCCCCGGTTCGACCTCCCCTTTGGACAGGGAGGGGGGACGCTTCGAACCCACGTTCCTTGGAAGGCCCCCCCCCCCCTGGTTGGAGAGGTCGGTGTCTGGGGGGGAGGGGGGCGGTCCGACGTGTCCAGGGTTTTCTTCCAAGCGGTCGTCCACGAAATGCGTTCGTTCACACATTGGCGCCTCTGGCGCTGGGAGGCGCCAGGATAATCAGCTGCGTGAACTTCTTCGTTCACCTCTTTCTTGCCTGCCTCCTCCTTCGT